TAAAGCATATTTGACCCTATTAGTGCCTATTGAAACCTTACTCATCCATCCCTTTCAACCTGTCTGAAATGAGATCTCAATACAGACTTCTAATTTCCCACCTAAAAGGAAACTTTGTCCTTTAGGGATGCCTATAATATTGTGTCCCTCTTTTTATTTTTTACATAATTTTCCATCTTGCCTTTTCTACCCTTTCTTAGTGCGTTCTCTGAGTTTGCAAAAAAAATTTTCTACTAATCTGATTCCATTTCCAAATAACTTCATACTCCTTCATGTAGTGCAGGTATCTTATAATAACAAAATATTCCTCATTGCTTCCTCCTGTCCCTTGTATTGTTGTCATTCATTTCACTTATATGCAAACTATAATCATCAAATACATTGTGGCTGTTACTATTTTGAACAAACTGTTCTCTTTGAGATAAATTAAGAAAATTAAAATTAAAAGATTTTTCAGACCTTGGAAGCAACTGATGTGTTTTATTTACTGCTTTCCTAATACTGTTCCTTTCTTTATTGAGATCTAAGTTTCTAATGGATATCATTTTCCTTCTCTTTGAAGAATTTCTTTTAACAATACTTACATTCAAAGCCATTGTTTCCTTGTTTCTTCCTGTTTAGATAATTTGTCCACTGATATAAGTAGGTTGTTAAGGCCCCTGTTATTATATTAATATGAATTAGTTCATGTTTGTTATTAATTGCTTTGTACATTTGGTTGCTTTCATGTTGAGTGCATAAATATTTACAACTGTTACATCTTTTTGTTGGATTATCCCCTTTATTAGGATGGTGCCCTTCTTCATCTCTTATTATAGTCTTTGTATTAAAATGTAGTTTGTCTAGGGGTGCCTGAGTGACTCAGTCAGTTGAGCATACAATTTTTGGTTTTGGCTCAGGTCATGATCTCAGATCAAGCCCCATCTCAGGATCCACATTCAGTGCAGAGTCTGCTTGAGATTCTCTCCCTGTTGCACTGCCCCTCTCCCTGCTCACATGCTCAATTTCTAAAATAAATGCATAAATCTTTTTAAAAAATACAATCTAATTTGTCTTATATAAGTATTGCTACTCCTGCTTTCTTCTGGCATACATTTGCATGGTAAATGTTTCTGCATCCACTCACCTTTAATCTACAGGAGCCGTTAGGTCTGAAATAAGTCTCTTTTAGACATTATATAGGCATTATCCATTCTGAAAATCTCTGTCTTTTTAATAGAGCATTTAGTCCATTTACATCCAAAGTAAGTATTGATAGATATGTATTTATTGCCATTTTATTACTGTTTTGTTGTTGCTTCTGGAGATTTTCTCTGATCCTTTCTTGCCTTTGTCACTTTTGGTCTCTCTTTTATACTCAAGAGTCCCCTTTAATATTTCTTGCAGGTTTAGTGGTCACAGAGTCCTTTAGTTTTTGTTTCTTGGGGTAACTCTTTATCTTCCCTCCTATTCTGAATGACAGCCTTGCTGGAATAGAGTATTCTTGGCTGCACATTTTTCCCATTATAGCACTTTGAATATGTCATAGCACTTCCTTCTGGCTCGCAGAGTTTCTATTGAGAAATCTCCAGCTAGCCTTATGAGTTTTCCCTTGTAAGTTAAGAACTTCTTTTAAGATTTTTTTCTTTATCATTATATGTTGCAAATTTGATTACAAAATGTCTTAGTGTTGGCCTATTTTGTTGATCTTGATGAGAATTCTCTGTGCCTCCTGGATCTGGATATCTCTTTCCTTCCCCAGATCAGGGAAGTTTTCTGCTATTATTTCTTAAGATAAATTTCTGCCCCCCTTTGCTCTCCTCTTCTTCCAAACTCCTATAACCTGATTGTTATTATGTTTGATGGAGTCACTAAGTGCCCTAAGTCTATTCTTATGTTGTGTAATTCTTTCTCTCTATTATTCAGTTTCATTACTTTCCATTATTTTGCCTTCTACATCACTAATTTGTTCCTCTGATTCTTCCAGCCTGCTGTTCGTTGCATCAAGTCTGTTTCCAGCCTCATTTATTGTACTCTTCATCTCTGATTGATTCTTTTAAAACTCTGTTATCTCAATGTTAAGTGTCTTACTGATGTCTTTTAGTCTTTTCTCAAGCACAGTGAGTATCCTTATGATTGTTACTTTATTTTTTTTAAAGATTTTATTTAGTTATTCACGAGACACACACACACACACACACACAGAGGCAGAGACAGAGGCAGAGGGAGAAGCAGGCCCCATGCAGGGAGCCCAATGTGGGACTTGATCCTGGGGCTGCAGGATCATGACCTGAGCCAAAGGCAGATGCTCAACTGGTGAGCCACCCAGGCATCCCTGCTTGTTGCTTTAAATTCTCATTCAGGTGTGTTACTTATATCTGTTTTACTTAGATCTCTGGCTGCAGCCTTATCACTTTTGAAGAATGATTTTACTGGATATAGAATTCTGAGTTTAGTTTTTTTTTAAGACTAAATATTTTATTCTATATTTGTATTGTTTTGATGGTTTCTAAATAGAAGTCCAATATAATTCTAATCACTATTACTCTTGGTAAGAATTCTTTATCTCCTTTGGTTTTCTTTAAGATTGTCTCTTTGTTTTTGATCTTTTGAAGTTTAAATATGACATGCTTATATGTGTAGGTTTTTGGGTATTTATCTTACTTGGTGTATTCTGAGTTTCCTGGATCTGTGAGTTGAAGTCTGGCATTAATTTAGAGAAGATTGTCAGTCAATATTGTTTCAGATATTGCTTTTGTTTCTTTCTTTCTTCTTCTTGTATTCCCATTGTATGTATGTCAAACCTTTTGTAGTCGTTCCACAGTTCTTGAATTTTATATTCCCTTTTTTCCACTTAAAAATTATCTTGCTTTTTAATTTTGAAAATTTCTGTTGATATATTCTCCAGCTTAGAGATTCATTTCTCAGCTGTACCAAGTGTACTTAATGACCCTATTAAAGGCAATCTTCATTCTGTTACAGTGTTTTGTTTTGACCTCTAGAGAACATAATAGGTCATTTTAAAATTCTTTCTTAGAATATCCATATCTCTGACTACATTGTCCATCTTTTTATGCATGTTTCTACTTTTTTCTATTAGAGCCTGGTTGGTTTTGACACTTGCTATGTCTCTTCAAACTAAGTGTTTTGTTGTTGGTTGGTTTTCTTTTTCTTTTTCCATTCAGTATGCTTTGTAATGTTTTTATGAAGGCCAGACATAATGTGCTGTATAAAGGGAACTAAAGTCAATAGGTATTTAGCATGACCTATTATGTTTATGTAGCTAGAAATTAGAATTTTTATTGTTTGCTGCAGGTTCAGCTGTGTAAGGCTAAAATTTCATCTGATATCCTTGTTTTTGTCTTACCTGTTGAATTTAGAGACATCTTAAAATAGGTTTAAGACCTACAGTTATTTGAATAGTATTACTCTATTATTATGCAGGACCCCCTTTTATGTGAGTTGTGGTAAGTTGTAAGGAGGAAGAGAAACATTCTAGAATCCTATGATTGTATCTCATTCTTTTAGTGAGATTGTTCCTCTGCTAAGTGACCTTCGAAAGTGCTTCCTCTCCCAACCTTAGGTGAGACAGTAAGGCTAGAGGGGACTGGATCCAGGTATTTTCTTCCCCTCATGTAGAAGGCTGGAGTATCCTGGAGTTGATATTTCTCTTTTCCCAAGTCAGTTAGACTTTGGTCAAACTCAAGTTAGTAAAGTGGTGAAAAGTAGTTTCTTTTGAGTATAAGCCTTGCTATTAATAGATGCATAATCCAGGTGTTTTTTGATGTCTATTTCCCTAAGACTAACCCCAGTAACACTACTAGTTTAGGGTTTTATACTTTGTGATAATCCTTGGAATTTTGCACATCCTGTCACTTAGTCATAGCCCAAGGTAGTGAATGTCGGTATATTTTCCACATTGGATTTTGAGCATAATTCTCCACCTCTAGTCTTTGACTTCATTGAGAGAGGCTGACTCTTCCTCTAGCTTTTGTTTGCAGCATTCAAGTTAGTCAGAATTTAAACTACCAGAGCCTGGATCTGGTCTCGAAGTTCAAGAATTCTGTGGTTTCAGCCATCCCAATCACTTGGTAGAATTGTTCTTTCCTTATCTTTTGAGATATTTTATGTTGCAATTGATCTGTCTCAGCTTTTGTAAAAATGTCTTTATCTTATGTATCATTTCTTTGTGTATAAGTCAGATGCAAAGTGTTAACTTACAATGGTATTTTGCTTACAGTTTTACATTTCTAAGTAAATAAGAGTTTTTACCTAATTTACATTCATAGTTTTTAGAAATTGTAGGGAATGTTCACTAACTTACAAAGAAATAACACATTGAAAAATTTTATTATTGAAAAGTGAAGTTGTAAAATCATAGAAATATCTTTGTAACTCTGCATTGTATATATTATAAATTTAAGAACAGTGCAAATTGGTTTTAGGTATCAGGATAAAATTGATTGATAATATTTTTATGTACTATAAAATCCTTAGGTGCAGTTTAATAGGACTGCGGTATCTAATACTTTCATGTGGTTACGTAGGAAAGAGGATCTGTTTAAATTATATTTCCTTAAACTATAAAGGTTTTTCTAAAACTAAAAGGTAGAAAAAAATAAAAGGGGAAAGAATTCTGGGAAGAAAGGTGAGGAATTCTTGGTTAAATAAAGATTGCATTTTGACATTTAAAAGAAAATGATAATTTGGTAGCATGGAGATTTTTATATCAGTGGATATCTTTTTAGAAGAATATTGAATTGAAATTTCAGGAACAAGCAGCAGATATCAATGTATTTTAAAATCACATATAGAAATGAAAACCTATAATTTGTAGTTGATATAATCATTTTAAAATACCATATCCCTAAAAATAATAAGTAAATAAAACATCACATTTCTTTAAGTAAAATATTTGTCTTTCAAACATGATTTTGAAAAGTTCAGAAATACAATAATTTTCTTCCAACAAAAAGGAGCTAATTTTTTTCAAAATTACTTCCCTTTCCTTTATTTTTCAGGTTACTATATATGGGTAGGAGCTAAGGATGCTTCTACTCTTAACCATTTAGACAGCAGAGCTTATTTAAATAGCTCTGTATGTCACTTCCTCAGCAAGAGCTGCCATCTTCAATTCTATTACTCCATGGAAAACAGTGCTCTCAGAGTAAGACTATATAATAATAAGGGGAGAAGAAACTGGGATTTATTTCAAAATCATTGAATAAGTGAAATTCCATTTTGGCAACTTGTGTTTCTATTTCTCAGTTGTGTGCAGGCTTTAGATATTATTAACTTAACTTCATTTAGTATATCTTTGAAAAGAAATATTAAGAACCTGGTTTAAGACCTACTGTCATATAGGTGTGCCTGGGTGGCTAAGTTGTTTAAATGTCTGACTTTTGATCTCACATTGATGTCAGGGTTGTGAGTTCAAGCTCAGTGTTAATTTCCATGCCTGGCATGGAACCTGCTTTAAAAAAAAATACTTTCATGTAGAACTTGTAATGTGATAATTTGCACAGTATTATTTTGAAAAATTGTTAAAATTCATGGAAGTATTGTAAAGAAATTATAGGTCTAATTAAAAACAAACAAGATATTTGAGGTTCTGTATAGTGGCTCTGTACTGACATTCTGATGGAATCTGTTTTGGATTTTAGATCCATATGTCACTAGAGCTATAGTTATGATGGGAACAAATTACTTGTTATGGTACCAGTAGATACAGTTTTAGAGACTGGTAATTACTGATTAAATACAAACAAATGAGTCATTGGAATGAGAAAAAATGGCTCACTGAGTAGAATGAAAGTTGCTGTGGTAATGCTAGCAAATAAGACAAATCCAAACTTTTTTTTATTCCCCCCTAACTTTGATTGAAAACAATCCTCCATAAGTGGTAAATATCTGAGACACTGAGAATTTCTATTGTGAAGAAAATTATTTATAGATAGAAGTAAAAGAAAGAAAATCACAGGAGTAAATAGTGATCATTCTAGCAATGGGAGACATTTGATAATAATTGCAGGAATTCTAACAGGAAAAAGGAAGACAGTAAAAATATCCCAGTCAGATTCTTTTGGCTTCAGCTGCTTCAAATAAATCTAGTTGAAACTTCCTCCTGACATTGGCCAGATTCATTTTCCAACAAAAGGTTATCATATGTTCTTATCAAATATCACTAACCATCTGTCAATAACAGTTTCTTCTCATCCATTTGCTTCTGCAATCTGAATTAATCCTCAGGTATGACCTATTACCTGCCTATTATTGTGAGAACTGAAAATTTAAGAGGAATTCTCTTTTTCTTCCTAGTTCTATCACATCACCCATTTCTTTTTTCTTTTGTGTCATTTTCTTCAGTCCAGTCTTTTTTCTTCTTCCTCTTCTTTTCTAGAACATTCACAGAGTTCAAAAGCATGAAATTGTATGAATATGCTCATTAGATAGCCTAATACATTTTGTTTGTTTTCATGAATGAGACACAATTTCTAGCGTTCTGAAACTATGTTACATTTGCATGACATATCTGCATAGTATTTGACACAAGAATAATTTCATTGAGTTTATATTACAGTTAAAGATGCTTTAAAAATATGTGGTTCTGTGATAGTACTTTTCACATGACAGATAATTATTATTCACTGAATGTTGAGTGAGTTATCTTAAACAAGTAGAAATTTGTGTCATATATCTTCTAATCCTAAAGTTATCTTAATCTACCATGAACATCAGTGATGGGTTAGAAACTTTGGGACTGTATAGAAGATATCATCAACAAATTGACTTTAGATACCACATCATATAATAAGAATAGAGTTATCGAAACTCCGTCTCCTGCATTATAAGAAAAGAAGTTTACCATGGAGAACTGATCTAATGTACTAATCAAAATTAGTTGGGGGGTATATCCTAGAATACTGAGTGGTTTGGTTTATTAGTTTACCTAGTATTCTGCAAGGCAGGGTTCTACCTTTTCTTACACTGTTTGCTCTACTCTATACATATAACACATATTGATCACCAATGTAAAATTTGCATCAAAATACATTTAAATTGCAAGTTGAAGTTTTATCACAAAGTTAAAAAGGACTCCAAACCTAACATTTAAATGATCATTTACATCTTCCTTGGATAGAATGAAGAAAGCAACCATTAAGGTATATGCAGGTAAATCAAGAAATATCTAGTGATGATGCTAAAAGTAGCTTTCTTTATTTTCAGGAGACATTAGAACTTGAGAAGTAGAAAACACAGGTGAAAGGCAAGTTCCTAAGTAAAGAGTTGATTCTTAGGGTCAGCTTAAATGTGTAGCAGTGCTAATCCTTGAGCTCAGTTCTCTGTCTCACATCTATGAAATCATAATCATAGCAACAGCCTATCTTTTATCCTGAAGAGAGTTTCCACATCAGTGAGCCAAGGGTAGTGGGGTACCCAGCTTGTGGTACCTTTTAGATTATTTTTAAAATTCCCAGTGACAAATAGGAAGAAGACATAGCTGGGGCAGGGAAGAAAATACTTTAGAAAGTATCTTTTCTTGTATGAAACAGTTTTTAAAGGCCATAATAAGCTTCCCTTGCAGGAATGTCTTTGCCAAAGTACGTGATCCTATTCCCACATTTATTCAAAAGTGATTTAAATGGAACAGAAACAACAACCTAGAATTTAATATCTTTGATTTCCTCACTGAAAGAGGGAAGGATAAGCTAAGGTCTCCAAGAGATAGAGCAATTCTTTCCTTGAAAGGTAAAATGGCATTATTGATCCTAGTCTGGAGGAGTAAAGACATTTTAAGAATTTTTATTGATTGACTGATTGATTTTAAGGTAATAGAAAATTAGAACATCACTTGAAAGGTTTTTCTGAGCCAAGGGGTTTCTTTTTCACATTGACGCCTGTTGAAAGTACCTAGGTAAGAGTCTGAGAATGAGAACAGAATAAAATAAAAGTTGATTTTATTTAGTTGGAGTAAACTCATTTTCTTTTTCATTACTTATGTTGTGAAGCAGGAAAATGTGATATAAAAATCTGTACTTCATAATATACTGTTAACTTAGTGTACAAAAAGCTGTTTAAGTTTAGAAAAGAATTCTGCTTGCTTTTCAAAAAAATGTAAACACATTCTTCTTTGGGTAGAACAGAGGGGAATTAATTAGTCTTAGAGGAAAAAAGAGTACAAATTGCTCTAAGTTATTTTCATAAGATAGAAGTGAAGGGACATGATGAATGCAACATGCCAAGCAGTTTCACTTAAAGCATCTGTGGAGGATTTAAGTGTATCAATGCTAAGTAGCTGAAGTTGCATAGGAAATTATTGAAAGAAAAATTAGTTTTGTGTCCCAACTTTGTGTAGCTCTAGTTCATCCTGAAGTGACCCAGAAGCTCTCAGCTCAAAATATGTCTACCATGGATGGTTCACTGTCATGTGGAAGTCTTAACAGCTGATATGAATAAGTAATAAAATGAAGTACATTTTAATGGGCTTCGACTATCTTCTGAAATATTTAAGACTTGGAAATTGGAGTAGACATCAGAGGGTAAAGGACTAAGTTGAAAATAGATTCATTTTTAGAAAATGTTGGCTATGAATGAAATAAGTGAAGCCAGGAGATTAATGCTTCTAAGAGTCTGAAAAAGTGTGACATATGTCATTTGAATTGCAACTAGATGTCACCTTCCAGTGCTGTTTTCTCTCTCACAGTAGAAGGAGGGCACAGACGGTCTCAGAGCTCAACCTGAGAAACATTTATGCCACTCTGTATTTTCACTATATTGATACATGAAAAAAATCAATGCATCCTATGGGTAAACATTATGAAAAATATGGTCTATCTTTACTAGAGAAATGTCAAATTAACCTGCATGTTTGATGGAATCTAAAGAAATTATTATTTCAGAGCATAAAAGCATGGTCATAAATCATAAAGCACAACAACATATGCAAAACTTTGGACTACATTATAGACTTCTATTGCGTATCTTCTCTCTTAGTATAAGTAGTAGAAGTAGAATGTAATTTTGCATACACTTTGCAACCTGGAAAATTATCATTTTACAGATGCATGACACAGCATGCTCTGGAAGGCACAAAAAGGTCTTTGATAGAATGACAAGAGAGTCAAATAGAAATATAATCTCCAGAAAATAACTGTATTGTTTGGAACTTGGAATGAATTCTCCCATAGAAAAAGATATGTATATAAATTGAGATTGTCCAGAAAAATATATCTGATAACATTGTTTTTTTAAAATATTAAATGTTGGCTTGTCTTTATTTTTAAATATTAAGTGTTTTTAATATTAAGTGTTTGCGTGCTGTTTCTTTTCTAATGTCATGGAAATATTATAAAATGTAGTAATGTTAGTGGGATGAACATTTAGTAGGTGGCTTTATGAATTTCTATTTAGAATTGTATTTTTGGAGTACAATACTTTATTTAAGATTTCATTCAAGTGTTTGTCCTGTCCTTACTTTCCATCATAAAAAAATAAGCAGCTTTACCATGTAGACATGCTTTATTTCCTTCTTATTTTTTTTAAAGTTTGTTTTTATAGAGCAGATTTAGGTTCCTAGCAAAATGAGGTGGAGAAGTACAAAGATTTCCCATTTTCCTGCTGTCCCCACACATGTACAATCTCCCTATTATCAGCATCCTCCATCAGGGTGGTACCTTTGTTATAAATGATGAACCTGCTTTGGCACATTATCATCACTCAAAGTCCATAGTTTACATTACGGTTCCAGCTTGGGGGTTGTGCATCCCATGGGTTGGACAAATGTATGATGACATGTGTCTACCATATGTTATCATACAGAGCATTTTAACTGCCCTAAAAAAAATTCTCTGGGCTCTGCCTTTTCATCTTTCCCTGCCTCCATTTTATTGTTCCTTTAAAAAATGTTATATACCTTTTTTACCAATACTTTAGGCTTCCCAGTACTTCACATTATACAGGTAGGGTGAAGTCTGTTGAAATGTAATTGAGGGAGTACATATGTAAATATGAGAGTGGAATTTGGTGAATGAGTAATGTTGTTTTACTTGAATCAAAGGAGGAAGAAATCTTTTGGACATTCAATACATCAACTGACAGAAAACGGGTGAAAGCAGAGATGTTAATACCAGAAAGCCTGAAGACAGTTAAGGTACAAAATGGAAAAAAAAAAAAAAAGAAATCTCCTTTTCTGTTATAAGTTTAACTTGTAACTTTGCAGTAGTGAATTTTATCACCCATTGTTAAATTTAAATTAGGATTTAAATTAAGGATGTGGATTTGTATATTTGGAGAGAGCAAATGCCTACTTATTTTCATTGTCTGTAGCCTTTCCATGGCCATGTTTGCCCTGAGTAGGAGAGCCAGAGTATGACAACTCCTGTTTAGAGCTGCTTCATTTTACGTGGGCTCCCTTCCTGGCCCCTCCACATCCCCATTACTATACATTGCGAACAAGGAAGCAAATGGCATTATGAAGCAGATAAATAATATATTGGTATTAAAAATCCATAAAGGCAATACAAATGTTTTGAATGCAGTAATTCACATCTTTAAAAAACATGGTTGTATCTGCCTGGGCAAAGATGAATCCAAAATGTACATATGCTCAGTGGGATGCTGTCTCTTAAAAAAAATTAACTTGGGACTTTGTGTTGTATATAGAGTTGAGATTGTGTAGAAAAGTATCTCTGTTAACTTCTTAAAACCTTCATATTAAATGTTTACCTGTCATTTCCTTCTTTTCTAATATCATAGCAATATTGCAAAATGTAGTAATGTCAGTGGGATCAACATTTAAATAGCTGGTATTATTAATTGGAATTCATAATATATTTTTGAAGTGCAGTATTTTATTTAAAATTCTATTACTGGGCAGCCCCGGTGGCGCAGCGGTTTGGCGCCGCCTGCAGCCTGGGGTGTGATCCTGGAGACCTGGGATAGAGTCCCGCATCAGGCTCCTTGCGTGGAGCCTGCTTCTCCCTCTCCCTGTGTCTCTGCCTCTCTCTCTGTGTGTCTATGAATAAATAAATAAAATGTAAAAAAAATAAAAAATAAAATTCTATTACTTTTGTGATGTATAATGTATAGATATGTTCATGCAGGATTGCGGGTGTAAAATAATAAGACATTGTATGTGTGGCTCATGAAACCAATTTCATTCCTTTATGGTAATACCACACATATACATTTTGCTAGGTGTTGAGAGGGAGAACCCAAATGATACTGAACTGTAACCATGAAGATTTTTAGAATCCCATTTACTGCTGAGATTGGAATTTCTGAACCATAGCATTTTTCTATTAATCACAGCAAAGTTGAGGTTTATATCATAGCCTATTGAATTAACATTTGACACTATTTTAATTTTCTAAGCTGATATTTATCTTTATAACTTCTGAAAGAGGTACTAAATGATTGGAGTTTCATTCTTTTTATAAAAACTGAGTATTAAAGTTTGTTTTGTTATTTAACTCAAAAATAAACTGAAATATAAAGAGAGTAATTTGGAAGTTATCCTAGATGTCCACATTTAATTAACTTTCAATAATAGCACCCTTTGGAAATCTAACTTTAAATTCATCAGTTTTTGAAACCAAAACTGTTATCATTTATGCATATCAGATCTCTTGCTGCTATGAAAATATAAAGCTGTAGATCCAATAATCTCTCTATATATTTATATTATGATATTCACTATGGGGAATGTATACAGCAGCATACAAGATTTTCCTATTATTACTTATGATTTAAATTTAATATTATTTTCTAGGCTAAATTGTTAAATATATTTGTAATCTGAAACTTGATCTTGAGGAATTCTTAAATATATATACATATATATTCCTCATATTTTTGAAAAGGAGAAAAATCTATTCAGATTTTCTACTTTTCATCCTAGTATCTTATTTATATATGAATTACACCTAGTTCATTCATTGCTGTTCAATAGTATTTTCTGTCATAATGGAAAATTTAAGTATCTGCGCTTTCCAGTATGGTAGTCAAAAGCCACGTATGGCTACTGAACACTTGCAATGTCTCTAGTATTTTTGAGGAACTGAATTTTAATTTTATTTTAGTAAATTTAAATTGAAATAGCCTTTTGTAGCTGTGGCTACTATATTGTTGGGCAGCAGAGAATCAGTTATTTGGTAGATTCTATTCAGCTATTCATTTCTCCTCTTCACTCTTGTGTTAGGTAATCATTGCTTTTAGTAGAACCTCAAGAAATATTATTACTTTGAAAATATCTTACATTGGAATAGCAAGTATGGTTGCTTTACTTACTAATACTGTATACCTCCAAAAAAAGCTAGCGATTCAACTGGAGAAAATGAGATTTATTTCTTTTAATTGGCACTTCTTTGTTGGAGAAATTATTTTTGTGAAAATAGATTTTTATATTTATTCTTTTAAATGTTCTATTCTTTTCTTGTGTCCCTTGCTATTTGCCTAGTATTTCCCTACCTGCATTCCAGTGCTAATTTCAGTAGTATAAAACCCAGATGCAGTTATAGCTCTTGGTGTAAAAGTAGTGATAATGCTTATTCTTTTCCCTGAATAGTAAAGAAAGAGAGCCATGAAAATGATGCTCAAGTAACAAGGTTGAAGTCAGGGACAATGCCAGTGGTTAAGCGGCATGTTGCATTTCACTAGATCATGAGTGGTTTCTCAGTAGGCCTCGGTGGATGTACTCTTTCTACTCCTTATTGTTTCCCTTTGGAGACATCATATTATAAATTTCTGACTTTTCTTAAGTGTAGGGTTTTTTTCCATTCAGACCAATTATGCATGTGAGTCAGGCTTTATGAGTAGGAATTTTATTGGTTGTACTTGCTGGCTGTTTTAACAGGTGTTTTTTTCAGTAATTATTAAATGTTTATTCCTTTTTTTTTTTGGAGGAGTCTCTTAAAGGAGATTTTAAACTCATAAATTTTTTATGTTTTGCTTTTTGAAGATTATATTTGAAGGGACTATATTGAGCCAGAAAGGTTTTATTGGGTTGAATCAGCTCTGGGTCTATGCCTGTGCACTTGCCCCGTCCAGAAAGCTTTGCTCAGCTGATGAATTCACTTGTACCAGTGGCCAGTGCATTGCCCAAAATTCGGTCTGTGACTCTTGGCGGGACTGTTCTGATGACAGTGATGAAGATCCTGCAACTTGCTGTAAGCGAATTAATGGTTTATTTGTCCACATACTCACATTCTTGACTGTGGTTGGATTTAAAAGTCTTTGCTTTCAGTGAGGTAAAGGTAATATGTATGAAATAAAATGAACATTCTCATTCTGAAGCTATTAGTACTACTATTCTTTGTGGGGGTTTCTATGCTAATTTAAGCCTTTGATGCTTTTGGTTAACACTACAAATTCTATTTGTTCAAAAAAGGAATAATTGTGGTGTGTGTGTGTACTTTGGTTAAAGAGGAAAATGGATGGGAGAGGAAAGCTCTTTATACTTTTCTCTTAGGAGACTTATATTATGAATTGCTGACCTTTATTAAAGTATAGGGCGTTTTCGATTTTGACCAATTATGTAGAAAGCTGTGGGGAGGGGTAAAAGAGGAAGGGTTGCCTAGAAGGCAGCCATGATGACTATAGAAATCATGTCAATCACGGTTGCTATTCATGACTAGGCAAAATTTAGGTTCAACACCTGCCTTTTAGGACTTTTATGGAGAGTCTTTGATAGGAGTGATGACAAGAAATCTAATTATTATTCCAATGTAGTTGTATTTGAAAGGTAATATAATTTAATTTACAACCCACATGATGGTTCTCATATGAGGTAACTTAGCAACTATGATATTAGTGTCTCTTTGGAAACGATGGATTCTAACTAAATGAATCCAAATCCCATATCACCAAGTGGGTCTTCTTAATTATTAAAAATTTGACATTTATTTTGCTGCACTGTTTTATTTTAGTGATGTATTTTATTGAACAAGAGAAAAATATTGCAACAAGATAAATGTCACCTTTTTAATGAAAAGTTCTTGGTATAAAATGTTTCTGTTGATGGGTATTTTTAATTTCATTAGTTCCTCAGACACCTAATTTTAACCCTAGTTTTAAACAAAACAATCTACTTCCCAATATGATTTCAGTGGAATTTTTGGGTACTTTTCTCACTCAAAAAATTATGTGAGGACCATTCATTTTCTCTAATGTGACTGGCAATTTCTTTCCTATGCTTTAAATTTTCTTATAAGCTATTTGGTCCACTTCTTTTGGAGAGATTTATCTTTCTAATGATTTGAATTATTCTCACTTTCAATGGTTGAAAGTAAATATATCTCCTCTCTTTTCAATTGTACATATTGACACTTAGCTTTTTTTCTCCTCCCCACTCCCCCCTGCAGTGAGGAGGTTCTTTATGCTCTCCTTTTAATTGGTTTTCTTAATCAAATTCCACCTGGACTGTTAGTAGGTGTTTTAGCATTTGATTTCGAAATTTTCCCATTTCTCTTCCTTTGTTGAAGTTTCACTGGTTACATATTTGGGAATTTTCAAGTGGATTATATGTTGATACCGTTCTGCTATTTGCTTTTTTTTTTTTTTTTTGAATGAAGGGACAGATGTCCATGCTTATCAACAAATAGTGTTAGTATTTAAATTTTCCAACCTATGTAACTTCATTTGAACAAAGAAAACCTGGCGTGCGTGCTTGCTTGAGATCAACTTCCTATAGCTGTTATGAAATGAAAATGTAGCCATTTTACAGATTACAAAACATTTATGTATTTTAATGCATATATATCCATCTATTTTGATGTCAACATGAGTATTTCATGTCAATATTTGTAGAGTTGTGTTTGTTTTGAGAAAATTATTTATACAGCAACGGAATTATTAGAATTGATATGACATTACACTATTTTCTGCACTAAGATATTTAATACATTTGTGCATGTGTACACATGCTTATATATATTTTTACCAAATAGGAGAAAGTTCCCTTTGAAATTTAAAACCACTTTGAAACATTCTACACATATTGTTTTTTAAAAATATTTTATTTATTTATTCATTCACTTGAGAGAGAGAGAATACACAAGCAGAGGAGTAGAGGGAATCTGCAGACTCAACTCTGAGTTGGGGAAAGTCAATGCGGGGCTGATCTTTATTTTATTTATTCATGAGAGACCCAGAGAGAGAGAGGCAGAGACATAGGCAGAGGGAGAAGCAGGCTCCCTGAGGGGGACCCCGATTCCTGACTCCATCTCAGGATCCTGGGATCATGCCCTGAGCTGAAGGCAGATGCTCAACTACTGAGCCACTCAGGCGTCCTTCTACACATGCTTTTAAATTTTTGTTTTACAAATTGACTCCGTAATGCAGACTTTTGTTATAAACAGAATTCTTAAGTTCATGAAGTGAACGAAACATGCTTCTATACCGTCTTTCTGGCCTTTCAAAGAAGCTAAAACGCCGGTAACTTTCTCCAAAGAGCATCGCTATAATACCAAACGATAGATTCTAAAAAGTTGTGTTGAGGCAGAATTGCCTTACAACAAATGCGCATAAGCAACGCCTGCAGTTCGTGGAGCCTGGAGGCCCCCTGATCCTTGGGGTCCCTTCCTTAGGGAGGAAGGACACTTAGCGTGCGCTTGGCGGGGGACGCGGCGGGGCCCGGCGGGGGGGGGGGGGGCGGAGGTTCCGAGAACCTCGGGCGCCGGGGCGGGGCTAGGGCTGCACCTGCCTCCCCGCAGCGGGCGGGCGACTGGGGGGGCACCCTCTGGCCGCAGATGAGCGCTCCGCGCGCTCCCCTCTCCCGCCCTGGGCCGCGCCCGCGAAGCAGCGCCGCGAGGTGCAGGTGTCGAGCCCGCCGGGGGCTGGGCGGCCGCGGTGCAGGCAGGGCGGCGACCCCGCAGGGCAGCCCCGTCCCCGAGCCGCGCCCCCGCGCCCCGAGCGCTGCCGCCGCGCCTCCTCCAGGAAGGCGGCGAGACTGCGGGCGAGCGAGCGCGGGCCGGCGTGCGGGGAGCCCGGGAGCCCGGTGACGCAGGGAGCCGCCCCCTTCCCCACGCGCGCGCGAGACGTGGAGACCCCCGAGCCCCCAGCCGGGCGGGCGGGGGCCACCCGCGCCCCCAGTTCCCAGGGCACCGATGGGCGGTTACCGCTGCAGGGACCGCAGCATCCCGTGGCGGGGAGGGTCTACCTTCAGGCGACTTTGCAGGACTTGTCAGAAGCCTTAGAACTCCTCCCGAGGGGAAGATCTCCCCTGTCAAAGTTGTAGACAGACTAGATGCTCCTGCTCAGTAAAACTTCCCCACTCAGGCCCCAGAAGTCCCCACCATGGAGATGTGTGTGGGAGTCCCAGGGGCCAACACCTGTGACAGCACTTTCAGCCTCAAACACATCATTTAAATGAACGTGGAAAACGTTCCTGCAAAACGGGCGTTAGAGAGCAGAAAAGTGACTTTTTTTTTCTTTTTTCATACACCTTTTCTGCCTTTTCGGAAAATCGAGTATGAAAGGCCGTATTTTTTTCAGCACAGCTTTCAATAAAAGCATTGCAAAATAATTGGGGGGGGGGAGTGCCCAATACAAGATTGTTGACCGGAGGCTCTGTGCTGTGCAGAATTCTGAATTAATTCATCTTGCATGACTGAAACTTCATAGCCATTGAACAAAAACTCACCATTTCCCTGTACCCCCTAGCTCCTGGTAGCCACTGTTCTACACTCTGCTTCTAGGAGTTTGAGTATTTTATTTTTTTTATTTTATTTTATTTTATTTTATTTTATTTATTTTATTTTATTTTTTTGGAGTTTGAGTATTTTAGATAGCCACGTAAATGGAGTCTTTATGCTAAGTAAAATACTCCAATCACGGGACAAATACTGCATGATTCCAAGGGAAAGATATTTGACAGTTATTAATATGCTCCTGTATAAGATAGGAGCTTACATTGCAATGTATCTTTAAATATTTCTCTTTTATTATTTATTTATTTATGATAGTCACACAGAGAGAGAGAGAGAGAGAGAGAGAGACAGAGACACAGGCAGAGGGAGAAGCAGGCTCCATGAAGGGAGCCCGACGCAGGATTCGATCCCGGGTCTCCAGGATCGCGCCTTGGGCCAAAGGCAGGCACTAAACCGCTGTGCCACCCAGGGATCCCTCTTTAAATATTTATAATAAAATAAATATAATAGACCTTGTTCCAAACATACCAAAGGGTATATACATTGGCTAGCTGAAAATTTACATATAAAATATTCCTAATTTCCAGACACATGCTACAATATGAATGGACCTAAAAGACATTATGTTAAATGAAATAAGTCACAAAAGGACAAATATTGTATAATTCTACTTATATAAGGTACATGGAGGAGTCAGATTCATAGAAACAAAGCAGAATGGAGGCCAGGGGAGAAGGGGGAGGGAAAGATGGTACATTGGTGTTGAATGGGTATTGAGTTTCACTTTGCAAAGATGAAGTTCTGGAGATGCGTGATGGTGATGGATGCACAAAAGCGTGAATGTACTTGCTGCTGAACCGTACATTTAAAATAGCTAAAAAGGGGGATCCCTGGGTGGCGCAGCGGTTTAGCGCCTGCCTTTGGCCCAGGGCGCGATCCTGGAGACCCGGGATCGAATCCCATGTTGGGCTCCCGGTGCATGGAGCCTGCTTCTCCCTCTGCCTATGTCTCTGCCTCTCTCTCTCTCTCTCTCTCTCTCTCTCTCTCTATCATAAATAAATAAAAATTAAAAAAATAGTTAAAAAGGTTAATTTTATGCCATCAATGTTTTATCACAAAAAAAAAAAGAAAAAATATACATCTTTTTCAGTTGTGGCATGGAAAAAGACTATTTTTTTTCCAAAAAAAAAAAAAAAAGGAAGGATAGATTTATGTTCAAATCAAAATTGTGTGGGAAATTCTGGAGGATAAAAAAGTTCTTTTAATTTTAGGAATTTTTTAGAGCTTTTAAAATGCTAATACACCTGGGTGACTCAGTCAGTTAATCATCTGACTCTTGATTTCAGCTCAGGTCATGATCTCAGGGTGGTGGGATCACACTTCAAGTCCGGCTCCACTCTCAGTGTGGAGTCGGCTTGAAATTCTCTTTCCCTCTCCTACTTACCCCTGCATGCATGTGCCTGCTCTCTCGCTCTCTTGCTTTCTAAATAAATAATTTTTTAAAGATTTAAAAAAGAAAA